AAAAAAAAGACAACTGCTGATCAATCCAACGTCTGGTTAATTTTACACTAACAACCAAACACTAGTTTGTCACCATTCAACACGAATAAGTTGCTATCATAGTGCATCATCTTATCAATTTTTAACTCTTATCTCATAAAAAAAAAATATAGAAAAATAAACCGAAAGACATCAATATTAAGAGCCCATTTATCGAAAAATATTTTTGGACCGTATTTTTATTTTTTAACTAATAAAAATGCCATGCTTGTATAATTTTTTATTATTTCTCAACTAAAGATTATAAATTATTATCTGAAAATCAATAACTAATATTGATGAATGTAGAATGACAAAACAGGTGCAGTCTTACCCCCCAATATTAAAATCACCTAATCATTAACATAACATAATCCCACCCCTCATCAGACTAAACATTGAATGCAAAGATTACTCATGTCATCACGTTAACTTGTAAATAAGTGAATCCCACATAGATAGTTGAGATTTTTTTGCCCATTTGTTATCTTATTATTGAATACGCGAGGATGATAATATGGTGTCACTTATACACCCAATATTGTTTCCCTTGTCTGAAAGGAAAACATTAATCGAAACCCAACTCTATGTATACTACGTGGTGTGAGTTTCATATTTCAATAACGTCATATTCAAAATATATATGTAGTATTTACTGTGCATAATTTACTTGAAGACACAATGTAATATAAAATCTAAACACTCAAAATATCGATCTTATTATATAAAATAAAAAAAAAATTGAAATTAATTTATACTTGTATTTTTTTGTTTAAAAAAAAAGTGACAATTTTCACAAAATAATTTATCTTTAAAAAAAATCAACATATGTATAACAATGTCTACAATAAAAATTATATTAAGTGACAAATTAATTTAAAATAAGATAAAAAAAAAAGAATGTAATAAAAATAGACAAAATATATATAATAGAAATAAGATTAAAACTACTAACTCTATAATAGATATCTTTATGTATTCATTAAAAAAAATTAACAAAACACCATAAAAGGCGATGCCAGAATCTATATCCGGAGAGAGAGACAGAGAGAAAGAGAGAGATATGGTATCACATCAAAAACCACCATAAAAGCCGATGCGAGAATCCAAATCATCAATTTCCCGCATTCCCAAAACAAGAAAAAGAGAAATCGAAAGCAAAGGCCCAGCCAGCTCTTCACATTTATGATTACCCACTCATCTCCCACACTGCGGGTTGACTGCAACAAAGAATCCTGTATATATATATATATATACTTCTCTCCTATCATATATACACATAGAGAGATAAAGAGTTTAGAGAGAGAGAAAGTGACCTGTGAACTCTTTCTCCATGTGTGACCGTGAATCAATAATCAAAACCCTTCTCGTCAATTTCTTCATTAAATGCCACCACCTCTCACCATTAATGACCGCCTTACACGAAACTACCCGCTGCCCTAAAACCCTCATTTAATTCACGCTTGCCAACCCTCCATTAAAGCCCCCTGACCCCATCTCCACCACCACGCCCCGCTCCTCCTCGTCACCCTCACCCCCATCTCCGACCGTTCATTTCCCGATGATCAAAAACATTGTCTCCCACGTGGGTCTCAATCCTACCGTCTGTTAAATCTCTCAGGTGACAGCAAAGCCTCTGGATCACCACTCCTCAGCCGGCTCGATGAAAACAGCCCAGCTGCCACCGAAGCCGACGATCTCATGAACATCGGGCTCGCGAACGATTTACTCCGCCGCGAAGAGCCACCGCCTCCGGCTGAGCCGGCGTACCTAACACTTGATTCTGACAACGGAAAAAAGCCACCACCGCTACGCCGCCGGAAAAATGGAGACTTCATTCCTCTGTAGTATCTGAAAGAGAACACCCTAGGCTTCGTTAACGAACTGAACGGGGATGGGCGTTTGCTCCAGAAACCACCTCCTCGTCTATACCGCCACGGCGACGCCGTCGCAGGCTCTAGCACCAACCTCTCCGACCCTAAATTGCGCTCAAATCCGAACGAGTACGATCTCTTCAACAGAAAATCGCGGCCGTTGAATCGGTCCTCTGACTGGTTGTTCCTTCTTGGCGAAGCCTCGTGCGTGATTTCTCCGAAACTTGCGTCATTTTCCGGCGGAGATTCATTCAACGGTTCGAGAATTGTGCTTGCCATGATTATATCATCGAGGCTTGGCCGAATTCTCGCGGCCATCACTGGAACAAAAGGCGATTCCGGCCGGAATATTACAGCACGACACAGAGGACAATTCGCGTGAGAACGAAGCCATATGTCGATACAGTCCACGTGAAACGCGTGCGAACAAACCGGAAGTGTTCGGACATAGTCGTTCTCTTCGAACTCCAGAAGACACACTGCGCATTCATGGACGTTGGATTTTCTGGTGTATATCGAAAGAGGAATGGTTTTGATGACGGACTCGTCGAGGCCGTACGGCGAAAGGACATGAAACGCGTCTGATGGATCGAAGGAGTAAGGAAGGGACTGAGATTCGATGTCACCGACGGAGGAGGACGGGGGACGGCGCCGGCGCCACCGGCGGTAGCGACGGTGGAGGTGGAGCATGTGGCGAGAGATTAGGCGTGAGTAAGTGATGATGACAAAAGCGGTGGCGATGATTACCACCATAACTATCAACGGTGGACTGAAATCGATGGAGGATTTGGACGGCAACGGCGGTGGTGACGAGGATTGGTGCATATATACCATGGAAGGTGATGGGGCCCACTGTGTATCGTAATGTTCCGGTGATGGAGCAGGGGCTATGCTGATCATGGTGGTTTGACGAGTGCTTGGGTCTGTTGATGGCGGTGGCGGTGGTTTTTGGTTGTTTATTGAGGGGTTTAAAGTGAAGTAGGAATGCGTAGNGGGCTATGCTGATCATGGTGGTTTGACGAGTGCTTGGGTCTGTTGATGGCGGTGGCGGTGGTTTTTGGTTGTTTATTGAGGGGTTTAAAGTGAAGTAGGAATGCGTAGTGGTTGACTGAGGGGGTTTGTGGTGCGTCTGCGTCCCGTCTTCTTTACGGTTTGTCGATGGAGTTTGTGGGCGAAAGACACGTCAGCATTTGGGAATTTAATGCGATGAGCTCTTATCCAGTGTGGGTGGTACCACTCTCTTACCATGGTTAAAGTCTTGTCCGCTTGCCACGTACGGAGATGTCACATGGATTGCACGTGTCTATAGTTGACCTTTGTTGCTGGGAATAAAAACAAGGTTTTTGTGTGACCTGGATGATTTTGATTGCGCTATATAGTCAAATGAGCTTATGGAGTAGTGGTCGTGGAAAGCATGTGATTTGGTTCACGTTTGAAAGTGGATTTTGATTTTAGGGGGAATCACACTTTGAACCCAAAAGGTTTAACAATTATCAAATTATACCCTCGAAATTAAATTTTTCGCATTGCATACTTAATTTATTAAAAGTGTTATAATGTAACTCTTTTATTATTTTTCATTGCTTATTTCGTCGAAAATTATGTTAATGAGATTGACATAACGAACAACAGAAGCTAATATAAGAGACATATTGTAACACTTTTAATGTATCAAAATTCAATGTAAAAATTCTTATGTTTAAAAGTATAAAGTAAATTTTTTAGGGTCCAAAATATAATTTACCCTTGATTTTATGTGCATAGTTGATAGTTGCATTGTACAGATTGACTACCTGTTTCTTGAGTTTGGCCATGAATCATGATGGTGTGAGTGGACAACGAACTGGGTTTTGAGGAAATTATGGTTGTTAGGTCTGTTAGTAGGGATGACGGTGGATGGAAAAAAAATGGATATTTGTTCAAATTTTTTTTATTTAAATCGGTGATGAATTATATGTATTAGACGGTAGACGTATATGAAAATATTCGTATAAATCTGTATGGGGATGAGGGCGGGAATAGACTTACCCTTATCTCCGCCCCGCCCTGCCCATGCTACCTATTAAATATTTATATATATATAAATACTCCAAAGACCTAACTAATCATATTTACTGTAACTACCAATTTAGAAATATAATAATTAAACTAAAAAGTGACATTGCTATGCGGTAATCTTATTAACTTTTTTTCTTAATTGTTCTTTTTTCTATATGTGCTCACTGATTAAAATTGTTAGAAGTTTAGATTGATCATGCTCTAAAAACATATAAGATAGTTTTGCATTTCATCGTTGGTAGAATTATTGAATTAGGAAAATTTTAATTTTTCATCTTTTAACATTTTATGATTGTAATATGAATTGTAATAACAAAAATTCTTCTAGAAAACTTCAAGTGTAGTGCTATTATTTGCTTAATTCAATTTTANTTTTTTTTTTTGTGTAAACCAATTTTAATCCTACTGAATTTTTAATATATAAAAGATTTTCCCATCACATCCTTCATGATAGGATTTAGCCTCATTTGTGACTGTCGGGACGGTTTGACGTCTTCCTCCAAGTAGATTTAGTGTGCGCAAATGAGGGGACTAATTCCTTTGATATCTGCAATTGTCCAACCTATTGCGTTCTTATGCCTTCTCAATACCTCCAACAATTTCTCTTCTTGCGTCGGCTCCAAGGACGAATTTATCACCACTGGGNCTTTTGGGCCCATCTGGTCGAAGAACACTTCCCCCCCTCTCTTACGGGTGTTGTTGCCACGGAGTTGACAGAGTCGTTTTCCTCGAATTTTGTCATAATCGTGTACTCGACGAAAAAATTTTATAAGCAACATTGTTCTCTTCACTCACAAGAAATTATTGGATTCGATTTTCGTTCATTGTCCAAAATTTCTCACTGCTAACCTCTCGTGACAGTCTAGGTCATGTCTCCGTCTTGGTGTAGCTAATCATTCTAGAGAAATGATGTATTTACAAAAAAAAACTGACTAAATAAATGTGAATAGTTGAATCAACCAACTCTATCAAAAAAAAATTACACATGATGTCGCTAATAAATACAAATGCGAGGAAGTGTCATGTTATTTCACCCTTATTTTTTATAAATAATTAGGCTAAGGGTTTTTTTTTTTGTGTAAACCAATTTTAATCCTACTGAATTTTTAATATATAAAAGATTTTCCCATCACATCCTTCATGATAGGATTTAGCCTCATTTGTGACTGTCGGGACGGTTTGACGTCTTCCTCCAAGTAGATTTAGTGTGCGCAAATGAGGGGACTAATTCCTTTGATATCTGCAATTGTCCAACCTATTGCGTTCTTATGCCTTCTCAATACCTCCAACAATTTCTCTTCTTGCGTCGGCTCCAAGGACGAATTTATCACCACTGGGAATGCCTTGTGCTCCCCGAGAAATGCATACTTCAATGTGGAAAGTTAGTGATTTCAATTCCAAATTTGGTGTTTGTACAGTTGATGGGAAAATTCTTTTTTATTGTTGTGGAAATTTCTCAAATGTTGGGGCCCAACTGCCTACCCCTTGTAGAGTTTTCGGTTCCTTTTCATCAACAAAATCTTCATCTCCCAAATTTGAATGGCAAAGTAATTCCATATGGTCCCCCACCAGAGTGTCAAGACCTCATATACTTCCTCATCATCATCCAGTTGCTTGCAAAAGTTAAACACATTGAGATCCATCGTCATGTTCCCAAATGCAAGCCTCATTAATCCATTCCTACAATTGATCACAGTATTAGATGTAGCAAGGAAAGACTTACTTAGAATGACAAGAATTTGAGAACTATGATTAGCAACCGGATGAGTATCAAATACAATAAAATCAACGGAAAAATAAAATTTGTCAAAAACATCCTCAATTACTCCCCTTGGTGTTCTCACACTTCAGTCCGCCAATTGAAGAATGATTGAAGTTGGCTTTAACTCTTCCAATTGCAATTACTAGTACACCGAGAAAGGTAGGAGGTTGACACTTGCAAAAAGTTGCAAGTGGACACTAACCAACATATAAGAGTTTGGTAGTTAGTGTATTTTCATTATTCATTTTATCCTCATCGCATGATTTAAGCGTAAAATACAGTTAATTTTCTTTTTTATGCGTTTGTTATTGAAGATTTTGTGGTGTTTGTATATCAATTTTGAATTTCAAATTCATGGGTCAAGTAATTTAGAATATACCGATATCGCAACAGTTAAGTTTTATGTAATTATGTACTTGTAATGACGTATATGTATCTTCTACTCAATTAAATAATAATATATCTATCTCGTTGATGTATATATTCGTATGATATACCTGAATGATCATGTATATAATTGAACACTAAATCTCAACACATACCCGAAGGTCTTACATAGTACTCTGAACATATTCTATAAAGCAAATCAATCCCACAGAGATCAGGTGTATAAAGTTAAAAACAAAAAAGATATCATGATGTATCCAAGAGACTATCTACTTGCTCCAATTCTGTCATTTATGCCTTTTAATAAGAGGTCTTGCAGATGACTTTCGTCCCTAAGCTTTTTGACGAGAATTCGTTCCATAGCCTTGAAACATTTTCGATAATGCAAGTTTTGCAGAAGCCAGTTCCAATGAAAATTCAACCATGGATTGCTATGAATCGTTGGATAGAAAACTATCCCCTCCATCCCCATCGTCAGAGTCGTCTCCTTTACATTCTGTTCTATTTCCTCTATTTTTCTTTGGCGTTAAAAGGTACTATGTTGTGTATCACTTTGTTACTCAACATTTTGAGGTGGAGAATGTAAGGATTGTTGGTTTGCTTGGTTTGGTGCACTTTGTCATCTACTTGTAGAGCTTCGAATTGATTTTCAAGATGAATTTGTGTACTATGCAATGGTGACTGATCTCTGAGCACAACTTTCCCTAACTCTGGTGGAAGCAGGCATAAGTGCTCCTTAATTTCATTCTCCGTAATTGATGCAATGCCCTGCTCCTCGAAATTAGAATAACTTTGCTTAGTGGTAGCAGCAACACTTACCTCACTAGGAGTTTCTTCTTCCTTTATCCTCCAAACTCGTTTCCCTTAAGAGTTGGAGTTAAAACTATGGTTTGGGTGCTTAAAATTGGACCTTTTGTTTTGCCTAATTCCTTTTCCAATTTCTTGCTTGGCACTAAAAGCCAAGGCCCAAAATCGTCTTCTTTATTGCTGTAGGTTTTTTGGGTCTGCCTTGACTGCCCCAGAGTCTCTTGTTGAGGGTGTGTGAAAGTAGGTAGTCTGCTGCTCCAAGCTTCACTCTCATAACCAAGATGACCACATCCAAAGCATATTTTCCTAAGACCTTCATACACAACCTGTTGCTTGTGCTTAGCAATGAAAACATGTGATACCAAAGGTATGGATGTGTTTATTTGAACACAAAGCCTTGCAAATCTCCCTCTAGATATGCCTTCGATTATAGCATCAATCTTGAGCCCTATTACCTTAAGGGTGAAAGAGTCGTAATACTCAATAGGCAAGTCAGGTAGGCAAACCCAAAGTACCGTAGTGTTGGTTTCTGCAGCTGATGGTTGGAAATTTGGCTCCCATTGTCTAACTCCAATGAATTATTGCCTGATGAACCATGGGCCTCCAGTGAGTATCCTTGTGGCATAACCAACTGATTGGAAGCGAGGATCATCGTAGCCTTCATCTAAGGCTATATATTCCATTTTTTCTTTAATTTTCCATAAGGTCACCAATTTTTCGATTAGGTATTGATAGTTATACCTTCGCCCATAGGTCTTGAAGACAATAGTGTTATCCCAAGGCTATCGGATTCTTTCCTTATCTTCTTTGGACAAATTGAC